ATGGTTACAGGTATATAATATTAAAAAAAATATATGTACAATTTTTATATTTAAAAAACCGCATAGCCGATCTTGTCCCATCTTAGAACGCAACCAAGTTTTTAATCTATAACCTAACAAAAATGATAATACCATAGAGTAATAATGTAGTACTATGGATAAAACGAATTCACCGGGCACGACGCGCGACATTCAGGTATTGAATATAAAAACGGTTTTTATCGTAATTATGGAATCGGTTAAAGTATTTTGAATAGAGTGACCAATGACCATAGATAAAAGATCGATATGAGAGTGACGCACGTAAGAACAGTAATAATTTAGTATAATAATATTATCTGTAATCTATTGATGCACAGCACTTCTGACTACGGTAAGTGGAGAAATATTATCAAGATTTTCAAGGAAGAATTTGGAGTGTATCGATACGTATCGAGGCAATTTTGAGCGTTCAAGAAGTTACACGTGTAGTATACAAGCGATACGTACCGACCCGTATCGGATTCGGACTTCGATACGAGGTGGTACGTATCGATACGTGTCGAATTTTTCTTCTTGAAAATCTTGATGGTCAGCGGCGGCCGGTGGTTTAAAGGTTCGTGTGGCATGTTCACGAACTAAAATTTACGTACCTAATTTTATTCACGCCGTTTTCTGTTTATTATATACCTACTATACTATTGTCTATTAATTTTAATTAGTATATTACTATTATAGTAATACTATAATACTATAATACTATTATATAATTTAATTTAGATGTTATATTTAATATATTTTTTTTTTGTTAATTATTAATTACTGGTATATATACCATATATATGTATATGTATACCGGTATATATTACGGCCTTTGGGGGTGGGGCGATCGCTCCTACCGCCCCCCCCCTAAATTACGTGCCTGTTTACTCAAATCGTATTCCAAAAAATAGACGGCCGCGGCGACGATGCACATTTACTCGCGGTCTTTCCCGTAGGTATACCTCGTTCCTCTCCCCGAGCTCGTGTCTGTGGAATGTTGTGTCGCCCGGCGGAGAGGAAAGCTGCGGCGAAGCTATAGTAATCGTGCATTTCATGCGTGTGGTCATAGGTATTATTTATTTATCTGTGGGACCGGAGGCAAAAAAACAAAGTAAAACATAATATACATGTACATACTAAATTTCCAATCACTTGCAATGTGTCCCGATGTGTATGTGTATATAACGATTATATAATATTACGACGACCACGGACGACTTATACTCTCTGTCATCTCTTAATTTTCGATCGAGTACAATTATTCAGTTCAGGATGTCGCGTTGAGCCAAAGCATCTAACCTAGCTCTACTCTACAAAATACAAATTAATTTCGAAACTTTACACATTTTAACGTTGATAATAGTTATATTACCGTACCTACCGAAAATCCTCGTAAAAATAGATACGGAAAGACAAACGTCGTCTAGGCTCTCCGATCGCGCACGCATAATANTATACTATTGTCTATTAATTTTAATTAGTATATTACTATTATAGTAATACTATAATACTATAATACTATTATATTATTTCATTTATAGATGTTATATTTAATATATTTTTTTTCGTTAATTATTAATTACTATATTACGGCGGGGGGGGGGCGATCGCTCCTACCGCCCCCCTAAATTACGTGCCTGTGCTTTGATGTTTCTCAAAAACATCAAATGATGGAGAATAAGTGAGCCACGGTGTAACGAGTCGTAGTAGTCTTGAATATGGATGCTATAGTACCGATCACTATGAGTGTTGCGGCCAGGGCCAGCCGTGGTCCGTTCCATTCCTCTACCAGTGTTGTGCAAAGATAACTTTAAGATTATCTAAATGAAATAACAGATAGTGCATTGAAAATGTATGTAGATAAGATAACACATAGCTAAATAGCCGTGTGTTCCTAAACTTTTGCATATTGTTATCAAATCCATCGGGTTTCATTTCAGTCCATCCTTTAGAATAGCAGATTGCTGATAAGTCAATCGGCTTGATTACCTCCCCTCCAGCGGCTGACCAATCTGATGAATTTAGGAACACACGGATTTACACGCAATTATTTGTATAAAAGATAAGCTGATCTCCTTTTTATCTAGATAAAAATACAGATTATCACACAGTTTTAAGGTGTTTGAACTTCAGGGACTGGAACCTTACCGAAAAGAACCGGTTTTGGAACCGGGACTTCGCTAAAACTCTTATTTAAATTAATTGTAAAACCGGAACCTCACTGAAACCTTTATTTAAATTAATTTAAGAACGACCTAAACGTTTTTTAAGATTAATTTTGGTTTCTTCTTTGGATCGGGATCGTGCAATAAATGACGAAGATTAGTATATTTTTTACTTATTTAGTCCTCTCCTTAGTAATAAGAAATATTGCTATTATAGGTTCTTGAAAGGCCTCTCCATTTTCAAAATTTAAATTTTTGACCAAGCCAAAGGTTTGTGCATCGTTTGTACAAAAATGTGCATCGTGTCCCATCGATTTTGCACAAAAACCTGCAGCACTATCCCAAAAACGAAATGGGGGTTGTATGTTTTCTATTGCTACACTCGACGGGGGGTTGTCTCAATACTTAAAAGACTTACACATTATTCCAGACCACAATTTTACAAAATTTGGTAAGTTTTAGAGGTAGTCGTGATTTCAAAATTGAAATTCAACTTGTTCTCTACACTTCAATGCAATTTTTTTTACAGCTTCATAAAACGGATCTTTTTTTGTGGTTGGATGTACAATTTTTGTTATAATTTGTGTTTTCATCTAAAGTAACTCATACTGAAAGTTATCATCGTCTGTGACAATCCTCCACCGAGTGCAGCAATAGAAAGTTATATTAATATATTATTGACTTAAAAACAATGTACTAAAACATGTCAATTCTGTGTCGATGAGTCTTACATAAATCAAAAAAACAGCCCAATATATAATAATAGCTGTTATTTTTTTTCAAACCCCTGGGGAAAATTTTTCACATTTCGTTTTTGTATGTTTTTGTGCGAAATTGATAAGACACGATGCATAAACGTTTGGCTTGGTCGAAAATTCGAATTTTGAAAGTGGAGGGCCCTTTGAAGTGGACCTATTTAGCAAGGTTAGGTTAGGTTACAAATGTACTAATCTTTGTAATTTATGCATAGCCCGGATCCAAAGAAGAAATCGAAATTTATCTTAAAAAACATTTACATAAAAGTAAAAGTATCGGTTCCGGTGAAGTTACAGTTTTGAATTATTTTAAATAAAGGTTCCAGTGAGGTTCTGGTTTTGAAATTAATTAAAATAAGGGTTTCGGTGAGGTTCCAGTTTCCAATATTCAAAGGGTTAGGTTAAAAGTGAGGGATGGCATTGAAATGGACCTTGCCAGGATATCTCTGGTTGAAAAATATTACTGACCCACTTTAATTGACATCAATTGATACCAATATTTTAATATAATTCGAAACGTTAAAACATTTTTCTTACACAAGTATAAAATCAAAACGGGGAACGAAGTTTTCATTTTTTTAAGAACCAATAAGAAAACAAAGTATACATTTTGGCACCGAAACCGAAATTTTAGTATATTCTAGAAACCGAACTGGAACCGTAAAAATCATCAAGGTTAGAAGTTATCATATGGAAGGTTTGATCCATAATAGTAGTGTGAATTTTCTTTCGATTTATTTACTTTGTGTGTGTATATTCAAATAACCGAATCATCTGGTGAAATCTCAGAATCATTTTTCTGGGAAGTTCATATAACTGTTCTACCGCTCTATCCTACCCTACCCAACCATCTGTCATACAAGTGATTTTTAGATTCGTCCTCAACTCACATGGTTTTTATTATTTTGTCCTCAATTAAGAAAAACCGCGAGTAGGTAGGTGCTGTGACTCTTTGGGTTGCTGAATAGACTTTATATCTATTGGTTTGTAAAGGCTCAACCTGCTTCTAAGTACTACAACATTTCGAGACGGAATAAGAATTGACATTTTGCTGTATAAAAATAATATCCTGTGTACCCAAATATCTACTATAGTCCGTGACATGAAAATTGGCCGTTGATCGTCACGAACCTAGTTGCCATTTTGCCTTAGGTGTAAACAATGTAACTAAATTAATTTTTGAAAAGTCGTTGTGGCAGGGATGTGCAAAAAAAATCGGGTTTAGGCCAGTTTCATTTCGCAGATGCAGGAAAAGTTTCAAAAACTTTGATCAAAAATGAAGTATTTGAAATAAAATAAGGGCTACAGTTACTAGAGTACATTACGAGTATTTTAGGGGGATATATTCCCTATGTGAGAGTATATCACCACTTTCTATTTAAATTCTGAAGCAAATCTAGATTAAAAAATCAGGAAAATATCAAATGTCTATAAATTGCTCAAAAAGAGTCAAAATATTTTGTATTAAAATGTTTTTTTTATCTTAAATATCGAAAATGATACATATCGGTATTTCCTTTTTGGTGTGATATTATTTCTTAATTTATGTCTGAAAATGTTCAGTTAATCGAAAATTATTAACAAAGCTAGGTAGTGTAAATATCTTTTCCCCAAAACTCGCGTGTTTTGATTTTAATTGGTAAAAAGTCACTCTGTAAACAATAATTTAAGAAATATATTTAATATTTTTTTTATTATCCTTGTTTGTAGAATGTAGATACTTTATGTCTTGAATAAGAATTATAATCAATAAATCTATTTTATGCTCAATCGTATTAAAATTGCATCTTTGTCAATATTAGGAAATTCGGTTGAAATTATATCAACATTTAGGTGTGTTAGATTTCATACATATTTTACATTTTGTATTAATATAAACAGTATTTACAATTATATTAGTTTAGGTATTTTATTTTGTTAACTGACACTTAATTAATTTAAAAATGTAGCTTTATTGTATTTACTTAATGTAATTTTTAGATATAACATTCTTGTTTGTTTCATGTTTAATTAGGTGGTAGTTTAAAATAATAATGAATGGTGAGAAATATATGCTTTTTGATTACTTAAGCTTTACGTTTGTTCACTGAACCAATACTTCGTATAAACGTTCAATGCAGTAACATGTTTTTTTCATTTCAGTTGATCCAGTTTTTTAGACCAAAAATATACTGCAAAATGCAGTTACTCTGCTTGTTGATATTTATAGGAGCTACTCAAGTGAGATATTTTATTATTTTTTAAAATAAATTAGACTCTTTTTAATTACGATTTATTGACTACGTATACCTTATACATATAAATTCGGATAGTCGATAGTCAACATATTTATAAATTTATAAATTTATATACATATATTTTCTATACCATCTACTATTACATAGTTACAAAAAAAAATATCATATTTTAGTGTAACGAATTATTCAGTGGCTCAGTTTGACTAAGGAATAAAAAAATGTATATGTAAAATGTACATAATGTACGGTACCTACAAAATATCTTGTATGAGTGTATACGTCAGTATCGCTACAGTAACACTAAATGCAATATCAAAACTATTCATTTAATAAAATGTGTGGGGTACGCAATATAATATGAAGGTACTTAAGTAATAAATACTTAGTAATTAATATCAATTAGTTATTTTAATATCATTTAAATTATATAGATTGCAGGCATTAAATATTATATTTGATAGAATTTAATTTATGCATGAAAGAAAAAAAAGACTACAGTAAAATGTGCCATTGTAAGTCATTTGAATAGATTGTTATTAGTAGAAAAAAATCTGTGAAATAATAACAATTTCATAACATTAAGTAGGCAAGTAGATAATTCGTATAAGTGTATAACCTTTGTCTAAATACTGTGTTGTGGAACATAATGATAAGCAATCATAAGTCAAAACACAATACACATAGTGGGTTCTATCTATGAAATAATTAATGCACCCCTCGTGATTTTATTTTTCTGCAAGAGTGAGTCACATATTAAGGTTATAAATATAAATGTTTACTTTATTGTTACTACTTCTTTATTTTTAAATATAATATATTGTGTTAGTAGCTATAATAAGCTAGGCATGTTTACAGAATTAAGTCTTTTTTTTTAAAGACACCCAATTACTGCGTTCATATAAGTCCTATATAGTTGGTAGGGTATATAAATTATTGTACATTATATTTCTAGGAATTAATGCTAACTCGTTAAAGCTCTACTTAGAATTATTTTCTTTTCAAGTAAATGTATAACCTTATTCAAATTTATTAATAAATGTATATAAGTATCTACGACTATTCTACATTTCTACCTAACATTTGGAAACTTGCCTAGATTTGTTTTTTTTTATTTTCATAAGGTGACGAAATCCGGTCTATTATTATAATGTAATAAATTATGATATATTTTATAGTATGTAACAATATGTAAAGATTTGATGTTTAAAACTATTGATAATCGTATAAATTAATAATAAAAAAAATAGATTAATTGATATATACGTTGGCGAACAAAGTAATAAAATATGTTTAATTCAAATTTTTTAGTGTGATGATTCATCAGAAATACCGCCAGATTCTTTTGATAATTTGGGAGTACCGGATGCTCAGGAATATGTTTCACAATTACAATTATCAGTTCAATCATCATATATAACTTCAGTTGAATGTATGCTATCATCAAATCATTACATACAAAGTGGATTTTCTGAAATTGATAGCTCTTCAAATAATTTGGAAGAAAATTTAGTAACGAAATTTAAAGATGGGTTCAGTAGCATGGAAAATATGATGCTCGGCTTCCAACAAACTGATGAGGAAAAAGAATCGCAAGACAAAATTAATGCTGTAGTATCCATGACAGTTAACTATTACCAAAAAAAAGATGTAACTGTTGAAAAATGCGAAACAAAGCTCAGCGAAGTAACAGAAGTGCATCAAGCGCAATCAATTCTAACCGCAAGATGGTGTGAATCATCTTACATTGACTTCATGAATGATGTTACAACGATAAAAACTAAGTATACCAGTGGAACGAGTGGAACGAGTGACGCAGATAAAATGAATACTAATCAATGGGCTACTCAGGTGAATCAGTATTATGATGCAAGAGAAAGTATAATTAATAAAACAAATGTATACGCATCAATTAGAGAAGCGTTTTTGTTTGGTAGTGGAATAAATTTGTGTGAAGGTTCCGCAAACACTGATCAATCATTACTGGTTAGTAAACATTATTTTCACATTTTAACTTATTTGCTTTATTAATTTAGATGATTTTATAAGTATTTACAATTCTAGTAATTTTTTTTCTAGAAAATATACGAAACTGATGATTTATCAAAATTTTTCGGCAAAACTGATAATGACGCATCAGCACTATTATGCCAGACAGTCACACAAATGTATACAATTTATAAGTCTTCATTGACTAATATTTATTTAAAATCGGTTGTTCATTCAAATTGTGACTTAGCAATGAGGGTTACAATATGGGAACAAGTGAATTTAGTTAGAGCAAATTTTGAGTACATGAGTCAAAACATAGTATCGTTTATAAAAACAACACAAACAGATGCAGAATCTAGTTTTGGTGCTGATTCTGAAGAATATAAAAAAATCATGATAACCTTATATACTTGTGTGAATAAAATGCTTTTAACAGTTGTTAAAACTACCGAAATACATTATAAACGTGCGTTGAACTTTAAACCTGATAGAAGTATGATTAAAATGGATTTCAATAAATACAAAGTAGATACGATTGAAAATTACTATGACAATATCGCTTATAGTGGTACTAATATAGATGACTTTGATATGCGTATTGTTGATAAAGGTGACTGTTCATATCCATCACCACAAATGTGTATACCACAGAATATGTACTCATTATTAGTAAATAAATTAGTTTTACAAACTTTTATTTGTCAACTAAATTATATAGATGTACGAAGAAAAACAACAAAGTACGATGTAAAAAATGTGGATTCTTGGATATATGAAAAAATCACAATGGTACAATTCCAAAATTCAATCATATTTTCCAAATGTACAGCGATTGTAAACAAAATGTTTATTATGAATTGTGCCACTTATACATATGTATTATTGATCACAGATCAAAGTACTCAAACTACCGATGTTCAACAAATTATTGATCAATCAACAACTGATGTAATTGGAACACTGTGTGTAAATGTTTTGGAAATAACCGACACCTATAATACTGTTGAAATATTTGTAGATAAAAATAGTAATACGAACGATACATCAGTAGTATACAGACCTGGCCAACCAAGAAATTCGAATACTCCACCACCTGGAAACTATCCCACTAACAACGGAAGCTATCCAACTAATAACGGAAACCCTGCCCCCAACAACGGAAACCCTGCCCCCAGCAACGGAAACCCACCCCCCAAAAACGGAAACCCACCTTCCTACAACGGAGGCTATCCAACTAATAACGGAAGCCCTCCCCCTAACAGTGGTAACTATTCNCAACAACGGAAACCCTGCCCCCAGCAACGGAAACCCACCCCCCAAAAACGGAAACCCACCTTCCTACAACGGAGGCTATCCAACTAATAACGGAAGCCCTCCCCCTAACAGTGGTAACTATTCGAAACTGGAAAGTCCAACAAATAACTATCCAAGTAATGGAAATAATCAATATTCGTTTATAATATCTAGTAAACCAATAACAAAAATAATAGAAATAATCCGAAGTTCTCCTAAAAACAAAATAACATCATGTTTAACTAACGTCCAGAGCGCAGGAGAAACCGAATACACGAAAGTAGTGAAAAAATCATTGGAAATTTGTCAACAAATAACTCAGTATAATGCAGATTATTTAGAAATCGTAACTTCAGATTCACTAAAATATTTATCAGAAGTGACAACTCCTGATTCTGCAGATTATTATCGAGCATTAATCATAATATTTAGAGATACACAGGAAAAATCAAAAATTTTATTTTCGACGATGGTTATACCACTCAAGAGAACAACTAGTTATTCGTTAACATCTGATGTATATTTAGAAGTGCCTCAAACTATGGAATGCAAGGATTTCGTCAATAACATTTATAAATATTTTGAAGTAAATATTGAAGAAGTATATAACAATGACAATGATGCTGATTTATACCTACAAAATAGTATGACTCAATTTAATAAAATATACGAAACGGTTGTCAAGGCAGTTAAGGAAACACAGGATGATTCCTATAAAACATTTCTATTATGCTATTTAGAAAAAACTATTGCTGTGTACAAACAAACCACCAACTGTTTCAAAGAACAAATTGTTCAATCACAACAGTTTATTAGTCAAAGTGAAGATAGCAAATGTGCATTTTATAAAGAAATCACACAGCGGATGGATTCTATTAATATAATGTATTATGGTGTCCTTATAAAATCGTATCAATATGCCAAAAATACTTCGTCTGTTTCAATATTTGTATCTGAATTTGACGTTATTACTACGCAAACGGAAATAGTGACAAGTTACACTACAATCACCCATGAGAGAACACTAGAGTTTTCAGTAGCAGTGTCAAATTGAGTTTAAGAACTAGTAGTTTAGATTTGAAAAACCAGTAGTTTGAAGTGGAGTACAAGGTTATATAAATTATCATTTTCAGTTTGCATATAACACATTTTTATACCACAAGTACCTAGAGTTATAAATTATAATAAACTATAAATGTATCTGTGTATACATTTTACATGAAATAAAGTATAATTAAGAATTAATGTCTGGATTAATCATAAAAGAAATTGTCTCTAAAAATATAAATACTAATTAATGACATCTAAGATCTAACATGTATTTTACATGTATTTATTTAGATGTAAAAAGTAACCCAAATTAGTCATTGTTTAAAAAAAAAATATTTTATTATCATCATCTAAATTTTGTAATTTATAATAATCATAAAAAGGAAGTTATCTTATTGGCTGTGATAATGTTACCTTCCAATTAAAACATTGAAATGTGAAAATAAATGCAATTATTAGTATTGTAATTATTCATTTTTCTTATAATAAATTTAAGAATTCTATTATTATTACCCTATTCTTATATTCTTCTACGAGTAATAAAAATAGTTTATACCTACATGTTGTATGTTATTATTGGTAATAATTGTATTATTATTATTGTCTAACAAATGTGGTTTGATGATATAATCCAAAGTTTATTATGAGTTGTATTTCCTTGAATTACCAAAAAAATTTGCGTAAGGCCAATTACATTATTTTTTTTTTACGAGCGATTGAAGATGAGACATTTATGAAAATGTGTGAATTGCTTTATAGTTAACCAACATATTGTTATTTCTAGTATGAACATTTTTTGAATATATTAATTAAAAAATGGAGATCAAAATGCGTTGTTGTATAATAAACAACAAACAATATGAGTGAGCAAACCAACAAACCAACATCTCGTATTTTTAAAAAAGCATGGTCTATTGGTCCATATTATAGTGAATTTAACGTAAATTTAACAAATAAGAGGAGGCAACCGAGTTCTCCCAACAGTTCGACGTACCAATTTATTTTATTTCGTTACTCTCTGAAGGATTGATTTCAGAATGAAAACGAAAAAAAACCGAAAATTTCAAAACATTAAGTCATTGTTAAGATAAAAATTCAAGTTTTTGAATTGTGTTGTCGTGTTGACAAACATCCGAAGATTTAGAAGAATATGACAATTTCAAATCGTATCTTTACCACCACTGCGTCATAAGTCGTGTGTAGTATTGTAAATAACTACCTATCATTAGGTTGCGTGCAATGTTTTTAATAACTCATGCACAAAGCAAGCTCGTGTACATATATATATGATACTATTCCTACCAGTGCACTGCAAAATGTTTGTGTATTATAATAATTCTGATTTATCTTCAAACTTCATTTAAGAATAAAAATATTCTATCCTACGTACTATTTATACCAAAGATCACCCAAACACAAGTCTTCCAAATTTAGCGACGCATGCAACCGACACACCAATTAAAATTAATACAATGCCAACTAAAAAAAATTTAAGTGGAAAATCAAGATAGATTAAAGGTTAGGTTAGGTCTCTTGATAAAAAAAAAGGCCTCTTGATAGTTGAAAGTTGAAACGAAAGCTTTCAGCGAAGCATTGTGCAACAGTCACTACAGTGTAGTTGATATCACCCCCTCCCCAAAAAAAGGTTTCACATAATTTATACTAATTTAACATGAAACTAAATACTTAGGTTCACTCGGACAAAAGGCTTATATGGGCCCAACACTTAAAAAACCAAAGAAAACAATCTGACATTTTGTTAGGTTATAGGTATTAGGTATACGGTATTCAAATTCGGGATCAAATAATAATTACGATTGTTGATAATTAGGACTAAATGATAATATATGTACATATATTTATAAATATACTTAGCGTGTACCATAATAAGGTGAAACAAATAATAATTCAAATTTAGATTAAATATACTATACCTAATTTACATACCTATTATTACTATTGCTTGTTGAAAAATACTTGAGGTATGCATACTTTACATTTACATTTATTTTAACTTTTTTTTTGAACCCGATATTTTAAACCTCTTATAGCAATGCAGTTGATGCTTCCCTGGATCAATGTTTATGATCTTTTGCCAAAATTTAAGTTAAATTGTAGATCAATCAACATATCAATATTAGAAGTATTTAATGGGCATTCGATTATAGGCTTTGATCTCGCTTCAAGACCAGATCTAATTCCTCTATTATTTCTCTACATGAGTCGCTTTTCACTAACTATTCCAGTCAATTGTTTATTCACTCTATCCTTATGCCTTGACATTTTTCCTAACAAATGGAAATTTTCTTGTTGGTATTCATTTTTTTTTTTTTTTGATTTCTTCAAATCACTCTCGTTACTGCCACTTGAACCAATACTAAACTTATATTTTACAACAAAAAGGTTGTGTTTATGACGTTATATACATTCCTGCAAATAAGCTGGACATATCTCGACATCATGTGTTCAACCACAGTTTTATTTATTTTTTAACCACCACATTGTTTGTATTTGATTGTCCACGCTTAAATTGTTTATCTAGTTGTATACTTAATTCAAATATTTCTTTTACAGCCTTTTTATTCACAAGTTGCTTTGGATCTTAAGCCACCTGATATTTGTCAGTTAAATCAATTATTTTTTTAAATGTCAAGTCAGCCTCTGACAGAAATTTTTCCTGTAATTTTTTATCATAAATACTTACCACTATGTGGTCATTGATAAGACACGGTCTTTCATCGCCCCAAACTTACAGTTCCCGCTTAATTTTCTTAAAGCTGATAGATACTCACTGAAAGTTTCGTAAACTCCCTGTTCACCAATATTAATTTTGTAAGCTTGTTTAGAAGCAAGTTTGTTTTCAAGCTTCAACATATTAGTTAACTTTTTGTTTATATAATACATCAACGAGTTCAATTGCACAATCAAGATCTATTATCTCTTCTGTTGCTTTAAATATATCAAAAACATCTCCAGGATGTCCCCAATATTATGATAAAAGATTGCTAATTGTTCATCTTTTTTTATTTAGCATGCGCTTTGTAGATATTTATTTCATTGGGCGGTATTTAATTGATCCGAACGATTAATCGATTCAAAAAAACACTGATTGACTATATGGTGATTTCATAATTTATTTAAATTGAATACATTTAGTATATGACACATGATACGTGAGCGAACGATCAAAAACATCATGATGACAATTGAAGTAATATACAAATATGTCTTAAAATAGAAATGAATCGGTGTCAACTATTATCACACTGGCATATCGTATACATTTTGGTGGATAGGTTTGTAGTATAAATAGGTAATAGTTTAATCAGCTTGTCAGTTGAGAATGTTTAATCTAACAACGAACCAAGTTTTGGTATGCATACTTGAACCCAGTACATGGAATTTTAAACTTCTCAACGCTCCACATTTAGGAGGCCACTGGGAAGCAATCATCAAAAGTGTTAAGACTTATCTCAAGTGCATAATTAAAAATCAAATCCTCAACTTCCAAGAACTCCACACCTTGGCCACGTGAATAGAAAGAATACTCTTATTCAGAATTTTGACTCCGTTATTATCAGGGGTAGAACACGATTGAGAACGGTCCTTATCGGCCGTACCTTTTTTAATAGCACGATTGAGAACGTTTTTACCTGCTAACTTTTATGCAATGTTGCCACATTAATTTAAAAAAAAAATAATAAAAATATAATATACAATATATATAAGATATCAATCACTATATTTTGGTTACAAAATAAACTTACATGGAATTTTGTTTTAAATTTTCAATCCTTAGCTATTAATGTTAAACATTTAATACATTGTTAACAAAAAAATCATATTTAAGTTTTAAATTTGATAAAAAAAAAAACACACACATATTATTGTAAAATCAATACATTCATCACTTATTTTAAGGCATTTTTTTAAGTTTCAAAGTAAAAAAAAATTATATTTATATACAACATATTTGTCAGCTTAAGATAAAATATTAAAAAAATTGTGAAAAATGCCCAAAAAATGCATTTTAAAAAAATATAAGTTTACACATTTTATACCTACAAAACTACGTTTCAAAACACCAAAAAAAGATGCCTTTGCATCAAAATCCCAGCCCTAAAAATTATTACTAAAAGTTAAGATAAATGGCAACGTCGCTAGAAATATCGTTCTCAATCGTTTGATTTTAAGGTACAAAATATTGTTTCTTTGATCTACAAACATCGTTCTCAATCGTGTTGCTAAAAAGGTAAAACGTTCTCAATCGTACAACACCGATTATCAGATCCATATTATCTATGCGGGCTCAATCCTGGTAATTATTTCTATAAGTCATCCCATATGTGCTTTGCAAGAAGCTGACTTGAAAGAGACAGTTACCAATTGCCTTAATCGATGCCAACTTTTTTATCAATCGATACGCTATATAAGCTGTATGAAGTAATATCAATTTACTAATATCGCGGTTGATGAGCTTGTTATCATAGAGAACCGCAACTGTGTGTAGTGCGTAGCCGAGACGAAATAAATTAACCCGATTGAAACCTTATGAAATTGACGGTAGATCAATAATTTCCTTTCCTTCCATCATGTCCTTATCACAGAGGACTATTACCTGTATTAGTTTGAAGTTGGTGATTTTACTTCGTCAAGCAAGCCTACGAAAGGGTGTTAATGGATTTTGACTGTTTTGGATGTCAATGTGTTCTAACGTAGGGTGGATGTCTGGTAGCCTTATCATTTTTATTATTATTACTATGTATATGTAAGCTATGTTGGCTCCTGGTTGGTTGCACTCATGTCAGTTAGACTGTTCGAGGTACCACTGACCGTTGCCGTGTGTCTATTAACGTAAATTAAAAAATAAAATGTATGAATTCATTTTGCTATTACGCTGTAGCTGTTTATTAGACCGTCATGTGTGTTCTCAATCATGGATTTCTGCATCGTTGCCGTTTTGTAAGTTCGTCGTGTTTGTATGTTTGTACCATTGTCGACTAAAGTCTTAGAACTGTACATCTTCACACTAATCGTCATTCGTCACTATTTAAGCTCACTGCAGTCAGGGCGCCGGCGCACAGTGGTCTGAAACGCCATTTTAGTTGCTCAAAAGTCCCATTTAAAAATAAATTTAAAAACTCTATTATCATATTATAATGTTTCTTAAGTCAAATGTAAGATTTCATAATCATCGTTTATTTTTAACTTGTTTATATCTTTACCAACTTGGAATTTGTATGTTTTTTGATGTTTTTTGATGTTATTTTTAATCAAACTATACATTTTATCGTAGGTGTATTTAGTATACAGCAAAGATAACAATATATTTATCATAATTATTTTTTTTTAACCATTGAAAGTTATTCAAAAATATTTAAATGTTTAAGATTTCTTTTACTTTTTAACGTGTGAATGAAAATTACTCAATTTTACCCAATTTTTCATGTGTACATAAAATAAAGAAAGCTCTCAAGATTTTTAAAATGTTTTTTTTACGTTCATAGAA